GACGGTGTGATTTGTGATACGCTCGCCGCCAGGGGATGCCGCACGTGTGTGTGCTTCTTCCAGTTGCCCAGATGTGCGTGTTGGCGTCCGCACAGCGGGAAGACTTCGCATTTTGTTTCTTCGTGCATGTGCATCAAAACGGAAAGAAACAACCGTATGAAGTGCAAAATTTTGAACGGTGGTCGCTCCCGTCGCACGCTTGCTGTCCCTTTCTGTGGTGCACGCGTAGCTGCACCACAAACGAATCACGCTGGTGTGTGTCGGGATTCGTGCATCATCAGCATCGCAAGATAAGACTACTGCAAGGTATTGAGTCGCACCACGCGGGTCATTATCCCCCAATACCTAGTAGTGGTCATCCTCGCGAAATCACCGATGAGGTCTGCTGCTCTCTCCTATATGTACTCCCCAAACCTGAAAAATAATAAACAAAACCAACGCTTATACCAACGCCTAGTCCCGACAGCACGGCTGACATGATTCAGTCATAACCTATGTATTGAGCAAGTTCATGTCTACAGTACTTAGTACATTTTTGAATTAAGAGTCCAAACGTCTATGACACCACTGTCGGTCTGTGTTTCCCGTACCGACTTGGACGGTAGTCTTTTATGTCGTGTCTTCCTTTCTAGCCGTACGTATACCTGGAGGAATTACTTTCCTTTCCCTTTCGTAACAAGAGTTGGTATCGATGGAACGTACGCACGGCAGACCGGTAGCGAAGTGTCAGATTAACAGTAACTCTCTCGAGAGTAGCCTATTGCCGGTAGGCGTGCTGTTTACTTCTCCCCATGCACGCCTCAACCTCTACACATTTGATGAGCTAGCGCAGGCGACTTAAGGCATAATACCCTAGGGACAAGCTCTCACAACTCTTGCTCGCACTCAAGTTTTAACAACATCATGCTCGAAGTCATGTCAAACATGAGAACTTCAGCACCATTTGTGAGCCGGGTGAAGAACCCCCCAGACCCAACACGGCGGCCATTTGTAGCCCACAAACAGGCAGTTGGGGCGAAGAAAAATCCTCTAGTGTAGCGGTTGGGACAAACAATATCGGTACAAAACCGCCCCGCACTCGTTTACACGGTGAATGTCGTGGTATTGGCAGGGAGAGAGAGAGAGCTATTGCACCGGGTGTACCGGCATAAGGCATGTGGAGAGAGAGAGAGAGCTAAAAGAGTCGAGAAGGAGAATCGGATGATGATCTGATGCTGCTGCCGTTTGTGTTCCAAATACACGAAGACATTGGTTCAAGTTTGAAGTTGACGCCGCCGCCTGTAGCGCGACAAGAGTTTGTAGTCTATCTATTTGTTTTTGTTTTTTTTTTGTTTTTTTTCGTGCGCACGTACATGATTTCTTCTACACCCGTTGAAGGTTGCCACGTGGACGAAAAACCACCGAACGATCGGCACACAGCCGTATACTTTTAAAAGAAGCAACAAACAAACTGCAAGGAAGTGTCGGAAACATCGTTCGTGTCATACGCATTTGTACATGGCCGGTGTTCGGAAAAACCTTCAGGAAAACCTTCTCATTTATCAACTTCTGTGAGGAAACACCGCTCGCTGCTGTATGATACAAGCGTTTCGCGTGTGCGTCAAAGCGCGTGCTTGTAGGTCAGCTGTAGCGGCTACGTACTTACCGCGAGGCCCTACCGCTGTAGTCTAAAGCCCAATGCTCTCACAATATCTACTGCTTCTGGACCATACAAAATACTGCTAACTTAGAATCTTTTCTCAGATAGCGATGGATTCGTTGTGTAAAAAAATACTGTCAACAAGGGAATAAATCACCCGTCCGTGTGAAATACAATAACCACAAGTCCGAACGGGGATTCTGTCTACCTACCACCTTGGTGGTGAACACGACAACAACAACACCCACAAACCAACCGCTGCTCTTCTCCCGCGCGACGTAGATACAATACCGTTCGTTGTACCCTGGATGCCTCCCACAAATTACTACGGGAGTGTGGCAGGCATGCTGCAAGACGTGATAACCATTTTCTGCCGGAAAAAGGAAGTAACGGCGGTAACTACTGCTTGCAAGCGTCTACTCCTGGTTGCGCCCTTCGTCAAATGGATGCCTGCCCTGTTAACCGTGTAAACTGTCCGCGTACGCGTAAGATAGACCCGTTGATGCATACACGGCTTCTAGAAGGGGGCGCCGAGTGCCGGGTGGAGACGGGAACAGCGGTTGCACGCTTGCAAGGGCAGCAACAACGTCAACGACAACAACAACCTACTTTTTGCGTCTATAGAGCAGTACATACGTACGACGGTTGAGAGGGAAGAGGGAGGGGTCGTTTCGTGTGCCAAACCGTTGGCAGCTGCAACTCTGTTGTTGCATCCATTCGGCCTTTCCTCCAAATACACCTACCACGGCTGAATACGGAGCACTTGCTGCTGCTTCATTCACCGCCATGTGACAAGTCATTGGCCCGATATGCTGCGCACATAAGCATACAGACCATTTATGTATGTACAAGGAAAGGCTGATGGGCGCGAATACGGAGCAGCAGCAGCAGTCCATGCGAACACGATGATGGTCTGCTACTACTGCTTCTGTAGGCGAAGGTAAAACTTCATCTACAATGTCTGCCACGACGGGTACGCACACACGGTGTGCCGAGAAGTAATCAACACATACAAGGAGAGGGCGGGGGACGGGGAAACAATCGAAAAAACACTGTCTTTTAGAAAGGACTGCTGTGCGGCTGTGCAGCCGTTCCCTCCTGTTCCATGACGGGTTGGAATGCGGGCCGGTCGATTGGTCGATTTCTCTGTCTTCGCCTGAAGTCTGTGGCTCAGCAGGTGGAAATGTACGCATCATTTGGGACCACGTCATGCCACCCCCTGTCTCGTCGCTTGTTGCCCCACAGAAAATGACTGCTGCTTGCTGCCTGCCGGTCCTGCCAGAGCGCGGCATGGTTGTTGGGTGCTACAAGTAGTTGCGAGCACAAAATTGTTTATTTTTTTCTTGGCTCACCCTGTAGCACGCAATGTGTGTCGGAGTCTGCCCGCCGACATCGCCGGCATCTAGATCGTACTCGCCGCTCTCGATGAGAGAGATCGCCTGCGGTGTTCGGTAGGGAGGAGACACGGGTCGGGGAAGAGCCGGCATGTGGACGGGCCGGAATAAGACGCGGAACACGCGGCGGCGGCGGCAGCGGCGGCGGCGGCAGTGCATTTTCTTCCCATGGCAACAGGGCGGAGAGGGGGACGAATCCAACCAAATACATGTATTACAGCAGTAGTCGTCGCATAATCAAAGAGGCGGAAAATAGAGGACGGGGAAAATACACCCGAGGATGGTTGGTACATGCGGAGGGCGTGGGTGTGGGGAAAGGAAAGCCAGCAGCAGCAACAATAGCAGTAGCAGCAGCAGCAGCAACTACACCTACGGCTGCTTTACATGGGAGATAGACCAGCGGCGCCTGAGCCAAGGCGCTTGTGTTTCAGCGCGGACGAAGCAAATTAAGGGAGAGCGAAGGAGAATGAACACCGAGTGGCAGATCGATGATGCCACCCGCGATGTAGCGGACAGCGGCTCCAATGCGAGTGCTCTTTTGTCTTCACTCTCTCGCTCGCCTGTTCATTGTTGCCCCGGAAGATGCAGAAGTGGAGCGCCGTGATGCCGGCCATGCTGCTGCCTGTGTGCCCTTTTCCCCCTCCGGGCCGCGTCTCCTTTGCGTTTGTACTTTAGGCGTCCCCCTGCCCCCTCCGCGTGTCTGTTGTCTTCTTGTGTCTGTGATTTGCAAGCGCCAAAAGATGCTTGCTTCTTGCTTCGAAATTGGATTAATTTTCCCGAGGCGAACCAAAATGTTTTTTGAAAAAGATGTTGCCGTTCGGGGGTGGTGCTATCCGTAGCCCGATTACGCCGCGCAACCGCACCACGAGATCATGACTCGAGCGCTGCTGCGAGGGCTCACAGCAGTAGCCTATCCCTGCTGGAGGCTCACAAATGACAGCTGCAGGCGATTTTCCATCCCTGGCATCACCGTCTCGATGGCAAGGTGGCGGGTGTTCATCGCCCGGGGTGAAACGTCGATACAACAATACCCGATCAAACCGCGCACGATGTCGCCAGAGCAGCAGTGCAACCGGAATCAGGTGGGCTGCGTGTATACATTTTAATTTCTCGGTGCATAACATGCAGGTCCTAGATAGGAGGGGAGTTACGAAACAAGTCTTCGACTTTTGGTTCCCAAGGAGGGAACCTTAGACCCTACAGCCTTCGTTCATCGGCGACCGCGTTGTCGCCGTCGCGGACATGTCGGCACCTGGTACAGTACATACATGTAGTCCGGTTCCACAGAAACCCTTCTGTAGGAGAGTGCACACACACCATTCGTTTTTGACAGCCAGGCAGGGGTGATGATGAATACCAATCCACGATGTCCACATGTATCCTGATTGTCCGAGAACCATCTGTTACTGGCGAATCGCGAGATCGTCCATCGTTGTCGTCAGTGCACGTTCCCTTCGTCTCCATCACTCAGCTATGAGTGTAGGTTTTGGCGAATTGGAACATCACAAAACTATTAATTAACTCACTTGTAGCATTCCAATCCCCTTTCATCCCCGCACACTATGTAGATACATGCATACATCCTCCATTCGTGTTCGTGTACGGGGGACTCAACGACTTTGAACAGGAACCCTCGGGCGCTGTTTCCCGTCCGCGACGACTACATCCGGTCGGCGTGGGTGCGGCGAGATCGTGCCCAGCGCGCGCAGGAGTACGAGGAGCTATACCCCTACTTCTTTCGCCATTCTTCGACAGGGCCCCTACTGAACGACAGGACAACTGCCTCGCAAACTGCCGCCGCTGGTACTCCCGCGACACGACCAGCAGCGCGTGAGACTCAAGCAGGAAGGCTTTCCTCCGACCGACACCAGCGAGGACCGGGCGCACCATCCACCAAGGACCTTGCTACAGCAAACGAAGCAGCCACGACACCAATATCGCGCGGCTGCGCGCGGAGTCGGCGGCACATGGGAGTAGGGACTGGTTCCGGGAACGTTGCCGAGTTGCGACGGGCCTTCCGCCGGCTCGAGCCCGAGAACATGTTCCGCGCTCCCAGGGTGGACGGGGAGCCGATATGGGCCTACTGGGGGGACGGCAAAGGGGGAAGAGGAGAAGGCGGTCACGCCCATGGCCAGCCTCAGCCGCCACTACCCCCAGGGAAACGCGCGAGCACGAAGGATGGGTTTGTTCTGGTGCCGGCGAAAGAACTGACGGAACTAAGGGCCATCGAGGGCGTGCTGAGGAAAGAGCGAGGCGTCCTAAACGCACACTGTCTTGTCGAGTTCAACGAGGGCGAGGTTTGTATTTCGAGGGGATTTTCGAGACTTTTGAGCTGGTGTTCTTGTTGATCGTTCCGTCGTAGCCATTTCTGTTCGTGGAGGGATTTGCCCGGGACCGTATGATCGCTATACGTTGCCTGTTCCACTCAGGCTAGAACATCACCAGTACCACCACCACCAACACATGAGCAATATCAAGGCAAACAGCGACAAGGACAACAGCAGCCAACCCCGACGTCCCACCCACCAGGTTAGCGCGCACCGTCCACTGGAGCTGACCCGCATGGCCGTGCACGATGCTTGCGGCAGCGAAATGGCCGACGCTCTGCGCGAGTATCGCGTATGGACCGCTCGCAGTCGCAGCAGGGGTGACGGCGGCAGAGAAAAGCGAGGCAGCAGCACTGCACCATGCTTTGCTCTTACACGAGGTAGCAGGTCGACAGTGATGTCTACGAGCGGCTGCGGGAAACGTTCTCGAGCTGCCGCATCGCAAGCGAGGGTTGACGAGCTGCAGAGGACGCCGGCTGGGTGGCGGACGCTGCGGTGGGTGATGATGAAACGCCAGGCCGAGTTGAAGAGCCAGGCGATGGAAGCAGCGGCGATGTTCGCCGAGGAAAGGGAGCAACGCCTCAAGGAAAGGTGGGGTTGACAAGTTCGGCCAGGGCGCAAGCTACACAGCAGTTGGGCATCACCAGACTTTCCTCTTGGCTTTTTCGAGGAAACGGGGAAGTTGTTGGGGTCCCAGTAAGCCAACTACAGCGTTTCTGCACACCACGGTGACAACATTGTTAAAGCAGCATCGGGGGCTACCGCTTGATACCGGGATCCTAAAGCGCTTATTTGGAGGAACTTCGACTGACTGTCATTTTTACATCTAGACAAGGTTGTGGGTAACATGAACATTAGTTCCTCAACCCTCTGATGAAGCTTCATGTTGTTGGCTAACCTCTTTGAACAGCAGTGCTTGCCGTTGCGGGTTGTTCTTCTTTGGTAGATGAACAAGAGCGGCGGTTTCCGCCCGCAAGGAGGGGCCGTATTTGCATCATCCCCTGCAAACTATATCCCAAGGAGTTGTAGTTCCCGCCACAACCTGTTCATGCTTCCCTAGCTTCACCGTTCAGGTTCTTATCACTCAGATGCTACAAAAGACAAAGGGTACTCGATAAGCACGGTTTCCAGAAGCATAGGTATTTTCGCTGGCTGTTACCTCGCATCGCTTCGGATAATCCTGAACACTGACTTCTCACATATGACACTGAGCTGATCCGCGATGGGCCCATAGTGCTACCACCATGTTGGTCGTCGTTGGGCAGCCGACCGTGCATTTTTGCGGCTTCCATCTCATCGTTCGTTGTTTTGTCTGGTGGAGGGCGAACATGTTCGATTTGAAGCTTTGTGTTTCGGGCGAGTGAGTATGGGAAGCGTTTTGACTTCCTCCATGAATGATATTTCCAGAGCATACGCAGAAAGATCACCACGCTCTCCCACGAAACAACCTGGCTTGAGAGAGGCGTACCTCGCGGCCATTCCCTGCTTTTTCTCCGCGCAGGTACTCCTAGCCGATGCCTTCATTTTGGACAGGTTATAGTACAAAGGAGCATAGTTAAGTTTCGCAAGCTTTATAAAGTGTCTGTTGTTGGCTCACGGTGAACAAACAAAAAATCAGGTTCTTGGAGGCGTGGGAGAGGCGGCACGACTACGACCTCTACTGCGTTTTGGCGGGACAGTTCTGGCCGCTCGAGGCACAGGCTTTCCGCGCTTGCTCGCGCCCGGGTAGGAAGCTGTTCCTGGAGATCGAGGCTCCCGCGAGGGTTATCATGAGGATGTGGAGGACCTACTGGCCGTTTCGCAAGGTGAGAAAAGGACATCATTAGGAATAGTCGACGGACGGGACGACACCGCAAGAAAAGTTTTTTTTCGTGTGGATGTTGTGTGACCTGAGGGAAAAGTGACGACCATGGTTTGGCTCTTTTCGCAGTGTCAGAGGTCCGTGACGCCCGGTTTGTGAGAGACCGCAGTAATATAATGACATGGAGGAGTAGTAGAGATGTTGAAGAAGAGGCTAAAGAGGTGGTTTCTCGCGATTTACCGCACGGCGTACACATCTCTCAACACGTCAAACAAGTACCATATGTAGTACTCCTCTGCACTTGCCTCGATTCTTTCACCTGCAGGGTAAACGTCTCTCCGTACCCGTGTGCGCTTGCGTGCGCGGCACCTGTCGTTTTCTCGTTCCACACTCAACCCTCGCCCTCCCCCTTCCTAATCCTTTGTGTACGCGTATCCACCTATTCACCCATCCCTCCTCCTCCCCCACCATCCATGTATGCTGCCACGAATGCCTACCCACGCTCGTCCCATGGTCACCTAGGATCGCAAGCGGAAGGGGTGCCTCGGATTTCAGTCCCTCTGGAGGGGCTACCGCGTGCGGAAGCGGTGGCACCCGGTCATCCGCCTACGCGTTCGTCACGGCCGCCGGTCCATCATTCGCCCCTGCTTCTCCTCCTGGGCCAGGCTGGCGCGGGTACAATCGTAAGCGTTTACATTCACGAGGCCCCAAAACAATAACCGTTCAGTTCTCGAGGGACGAGCTCAAGGGTAGTTGCGGGGGGGGGGAGGGGGTCGGCGTCCATCGTTCGCCACAGATTGAATCCAAGTGGCTAATTTACCCTCCTCGGGGGTGCTTGCTTTCTCCTTCCTCGATCTGCTGGTGTTTCTTCAAGTTGGGCGCGGCGACGGTTCGAGGAGATCGAGGGCCGTTGGGAGCGGTCCTGCTTCCACGCCTGGGCGGAGTGGACGGCCAACCTGGCCGCCGAGAGGCAGCGGAAGCTGGAGCGCGCCGGGAGGACCCTGAGGAACATCGCCGCCTACCGGTCGTTCCGCTCCTGGAAGGTGTGTGGGCATATAGAACGCTACACACAAGCCCACGCGACCGCCACGCGGTGGTGGAGTAGACCGGAAGCTTGTGAGTTGTTGTCTGGAGAGTGAGGACCGCACCCCGCTGTTTTTTTCGCCGACACGTTCTTCCCTGCCGGTATTTCGCACCAGAAGGAGACCACCCCACAGCAATCGAGGTTTTCACGGTGTCGCTGTCGTCGAGCGTAGTTGTCGTGAGACTTTCAAAGCTACGCTTGAGAAGTGCCACCACTGCTATTCCCTGGCCGGTCGTCGCCCGTCCGGGGTGTAGCTTTCCTCGCTCGAACTTGACCCGTTTCAATCTCCAGGCGGTCCGTTCGGTCGGTGTAGCGGTGGCTCTGGTACGCCTGGACTTTGAAGCGTCGTTTCGCTGTACAAGCCAGGTGCATCATGTCTGAAAATATGGCCCCCCTTAGTCGCGGTAGAGACACAAAGGGGAGAAACGCCGGCGTCACCGCCGTCACCGCCGTCACCGCCGCTACTGCCGCCGCCGCCGCCGCCGCCGCCACCATTGCTTCTCTTTTCCTTGCCGTTCTGGAACACATTCTGGCAGTCGTACACCAGGACAGCACGCCAGGCGCATCGCCTGTACGCCCGTGCCGTGGGGGGTACGTCGATGGCCGCCTGGGTTCAGTATGTGGGCATGGCGAAGAGGCAGAGGAGGCAGAAGAGTGCGGCCGTCACTATACAGCGGCATGCGAGGGGCTACCTGGTGAGGGTTTCGTGCTGCTAGTCTAGCTTATCCCGCATCGTGATGGTGCCCTCTGTTGCTGCCGCCGTCACTGCTGCTGCTGCTGCTGCTGCTGCCGTTGCTGCTGCTACTGCTGCTGCTGCTGTCGTTTCTACGAAATCACTGCTGTAACGCGTACCTGTCGTTTGGCCAGGCGCCACATCGAAATGCGAAGAGACAGGACGATCATTACAATCCCTTGCCAAGCCGGTACATCAGATTGCGTTGGGTTCTGAAGAAGCTCTTGAAAAAAATAGCGTTCAACCCTTGTCCTGCTGCCCGCACGCACCTACGCGCACGCCGCGCTACGTGCTACACTGGCAGGCGAGAGGTCGATATCGGGCCACCCAGACGATAATCCGCGGCTTCAACCGCCTCATGGCCGCGCGGCGAGCCCGACAGTTTCTCCGCCAGGCGCTGGCCGCCGCCCACCGCATGGCAACAGAGGAGCTCCTCCAATCCGGGTGCGCGCCTTGTGTAGAGAGAGCACCGGTGTGCGATTGAGAAGAAGGGCCTCAATACTTGTAGTATAGGATACCTACAAGCGAAGACACACCCGTCCCCATGCGAGTATAAAGATCTGAGGACGAAGGTGTTTGTTGCGAGGAGCACGCGTGCGGCACCACTCCTCTGTCCTGACGGTACGCTGCAAAAGGGTTGTGCCCGTGAGTGAATTGCCGTAAAAGGTTTTCTTACAGTTCGACGGTTTGACGCCGTCGAGAACCTAGGCACAGGAATCGAAAAGTCTCGCCATGTGTCAAACAAAAAAGGCCCCGTAATCGGTGAATTGGGCTCCTAAGCCGTTCTCTTCTTCGCGCCTCGAATAAAAAACACGAAATAAATACAACGAGTGTTGTCACCCCAGGTGCGATGCCGAGATCACCGTCGGGATCGCGAGAGAAGAGAAACGCCTCGCCAAGCTGCAGAAGGAGATCAAGGCCGCAGACGCGGCCGTCCGGCGGGCGGTCACCAAGAGGCTGACCGGCGGCTGGCTGACGATCCGTCCCGCTTTCCGCGGCGGGGGCGAGCTCCGGCGAGAGGCGAGGGCGGTTCAGGAGGAGTGGAAGGCGCTAGAAGCCGCCCAGATTGCTGCTGCAACCACCACCGCCCCGGGAACGACCCTGGCGAATGCCTCGGTGGAAAGGGATTCAAAAGACGACGGTGGCGGTGGTGGTGGGCTGGGCGGAACGTTGCCGAAAACTGTCTTCCCGGGACTTCTACTGAGGAAGGGGAAGCCGAAAGACATAACACGTGCCGCGCGGCCTGACGGTGGTGGTGATGGTGGCGGCGGCGGTAGCAACAGCCGTCCGACAACCGAGGCCGAGAAGAAAGCGGCTCCTGCCAGTGGAGGAGTGAGAGGGGGACGAACGGGAGGAGCGCAAGCCCCGGCCAAGGCATGCGTCCCTCCTTCTTCTCGCGGAGGAACGGCGGAGGCGGAACGGGAGGCCTGGCGGAGGATACTGGCCAGGGAGAAGCTCCTCGCGAGAGAGATCATCGTGCACGACTTCGACGTGCGCAACCCGCCCCCGCTCACGTGCTGCGCGCCGGGCTGCGGCCGCACCTTTACCCAGGACGAGCACTACCTGGCCCACTGGGACGCTGGTGCCGCCGCCGCCGCCGCGAGGAAGTTGCTGGTACGAGACGATCCCGACGCTCTCTTGTCTCGCCCGTCCTCGCCACCCTTTTCCGGGACTCCGCAGCGACAAGACCGCGGCTGCCAGAAATCGCCATTGAGGCCGACAATGCCGACAGACGACCAGCAATCGGTAGCGCCGTCCATCGGTAGTATCACGGGTTCGACATCAACGGTGGCCTGGCAGCAGCAGCAGCTCCGCGCCCCAGCGGAGCAACAGCAGCTCCGCCACGGCTTTCCTGCCGCGGAGGAAGCGGAAGCGGAAGCGGAAGCCGGGCACTCGGAGCGGGGGGGGAAGGGAATAGCGTCGTTCCACCTGGTCGTCGCCGACAAGGCCGACATCAGAAGAGGCGGTGGAGGCGGTGGCGGCGGCGGCGGTGGCGGTTCGGAAATAGCGAACCACGAAGAAGCCGGCGCCGGGTTCGACCTCGTCTCCGCGTACGTCACCCGGGTCTGGGGCCACGGGCAGGCGTACAACACCCTCCTCTTCATCGACGCGGTAGACGCCTGGCGCCGCTGCTGTCCCGTCGCGGACCCGGCCTTTGCAGAGGGCGCGGCCGAGCTGCGGCGGGAGTTCCTGTGCCCGGGGGCGCCCCGGGAGGCCAGCCTTCCGGCGGAGACACGGCGAGACCTCATGCGCACGCTGGACACCCTGCCCGACGACGTCCTCGATGGCACGGCGGGAGGGTGGGACGATGGTGATGAGAGTGGCGACGATGACGCCGGGGGTGGTGAAGAAGTCGGTGGTGACGGGCGGGCGCCCGATGCGGAGCTGCCCTTCGCGGATGAGAAACGTCCGAGGGAGACGAGGGTCGACCTCGACCTCAGCGACGGAGATGAAGGCGGCAGAAGAAGTATCAGGACGGCCGGCAACGCTGCGACCCGCGACATCAGCGGTGGCAGTGGTGGCCCAAGAGCGATCGCAAAGAGCAAGGCTCAGACCAAATTCTCTCGCAACAAGATCGCGCGGCCGTCGGCGACGCTTCAGCCGCAACAGCAACGCAGACCGGTGTCGGCTCCGGGAGGGGCGGCACCATCAGCAACAGCCTCTTCCGCTGCCTCCGCCGCCGCTGCAGCAGCGGCGGCGGCGGTGGCAGCAGCAGCGAGGAACCCGCACGGTCTGCGGCCTACCTCGTTCGACGAGGCGCAGTTTCAGGCTCTAGCGCACCTGTCTCGGGTGGTCGGGCCCGGGTTCTGGGCGTCCGACCTGGGTCGGCTCGCCGCCTCGCTGCACCAACAGGAGCTCAAGAGGAGACGGGAGGCCGCTCGCGAGATCGTGCGGCTGGAGGTGCGTGCGCGCATGGCATGTGTAGATAGAGGAAAACTCCTTCTTGGTATTATTGTGTTACTCGGTGGCCGTCGGGGCTGGTGTTTATTGTGGGTGGGTGCGCTGGTCGGTCGGCCTCTCCTCGTAGCTGCAAGTGCACGGCATCGGCGTCGGGGGGGGGCACGCCGCTGGCGTTGTTGTTGCTGTTGGTCATGGTGCTGCTGTGGTCGTCCTCGATATACTGCCGTAGCGGACGCTTCGAGGGGGTCTCTACAACACACGAGACAGCAGTTGTGTTTTTTTTTTCTCTAGCATGGCGCCGTCTCTTGAGTCCCGCCCGGTACACGAGCGGGTCTCGTCTTGTCTTTTGCCCGCACGGGCCGGCTCAGGTGTTGGAGAATGCCGGCGCTTCTCTCTGTGCGAGTGCGCTCTCGACCCGGTATTTTTGCGTTGGTTTCTGTGGCAAGCACGTGTAGTATTAGCAGACTTTCACCATGCCTGCCCACGCACAAAGTGTTTGGTGACCCCAACACCTGGTTTGTTTTGGCCTCGCGACCGTTCTCCCCATCCCGTCCCCCACATATCCCCCGCCTCCCCGGCTGCGCGTCCAGCGGAGGGGTCGTCTAGCCAACGAGGCGGCAGAGGTAAGGAGACAGTTGTCGCGAGGCCGGGACGTGGAGATGGAGTCCCTCGCCCAGTCCGCCTTGGACGTCGCCTCCGGCTCGGTTGTCGAGGCTCTCCTCCGCAGCGCGGTCGCTGGGGCGGAGGTTTTGGAGACACAAGAGGTGAGCGCGTCGCGGCACGCCAGCGGCCTTGCAGGAGTGTGGTTGTTGTCGTTTTCCGTGTGGTGACGACGAGTGCGCGTGGGTTGTCACAAGCGGCACAATTAAACAGAACTCGACGGACGGAAAGAGGCTCAGGCTGTTCCTTCGCTTGACCTCTTCACGCTCGGAAACACCGGCAGATAATTCACTAGACATGTTATGCTTTGGAGACCCTCCCCACGTAGGATGAATGCCGGCTTCACTTTCGGAAGCAGCCCCGACTGCGCTTGGTCTCTCGCGCTCAGCCCCCCCCAGGATGAGTTTCTCCAGGAAGAGTCTTGGCCACATCAACCGACCGGTCGCGGACCGTCTCCGATCACACCGCCTCTGACGCCTCCCCGAATCACAACCTCTCGTGGACCCACACGTACACACGAGGCCGCGCCGCCAGGCCCCCCCGGAACCATGTGTAACGCTACACGGGCAACACATTTTCCAGCGCACACACCAAAAATAAACCTGCTCATTTCTTCGTTTGTTTTTTACTTTGTTGGCTTTGTGTTCCACTACGAGAAACATCTTAATGACCCGCACACCTCAATTCATCCCGTTCGTTGCTTCGTTTGTCGTCGACTTGCTGGCTTCGTGGCCCACCCCGGTCGAATAGGGAAACGTGTTTTGAACCACCTCTGGCAAAATAGGAAAGAACGATTGGCCATCGGTGATCGGTCAATAGTCTTCCAACGGAGGCACGCAAAGACGAGTTACCCCCCCCCCCCCCCTTTTGTTGGA